ATTTTCCTCCCTGACTAACATATAAGGCTTATATGAAAATAATCATTAGGTGTTAGTGGTTTCATCTGGGATTGGAGATCTCTCGGAACAAGTCCTATCCAAACTTTTTGCTATCTTCAGGGAGTTTTCGGCCATTCTACTTTAGTCTAGATTAAAAACCGAGTCGAGATCTTTTTAAAAATCTTGGTTATCGATATCCTAAATTTTCTAAATATCAATCTCTATAAATCTTCAAGTTAACATAGCACTAGTGATTGCTTTTACCTCAAATCTTTAATTTTAATTTCTTCAGTTTTTTACTAAGAAATCAGGGTTGCATCGTAAGTACGAATTACAATTAGAAAAAATTTTCGATTACGACGCAACTCTGTAAGGAATGCCTCATCTTCTCCGGATATTTTCATAAAAATTGTTTAAAAATATGGGTAAATGAACACCTTTTAATTTCTAAATTTATAAATTTTGATTCCTACTTTTATTGTAAAAGTCGTTATCATTTCCCTCATCATTTCCTCCAGATGTTGAATAATTTTTTGGATGATCTGAATCAGTTGTCGCGGGTTAAAAAAAGAGTTTAATCGGATCACGGGCATAGTTGGGCCGAAATTTCGACTTTCGATTTTCAACTCTTTCGATTTCCAATTTTCAAAGATTTTTTTGTCTTCGAAAATTTTTCGGGTTTTGGTTTCGGATTGAATTTGGATCGGGAGAATTTGGGAACCCGCGACAACCGTAATTAAATGTTGAATTCATTGAAAATTGTTCATTTCTCTGATTCCAAATTCCCATTCCTCTATTTGAAGTTAAAGAGGATGATGATCCTTCAGATGGCGAATAATTTTTAAATTTATTCAAATTGCCATTTACTTGCTGTAAATTTTAAATTTATTTTTTAAAATTTTTTATAAAATACTTGGTGAGTTTTAAAAGATCTATTAGCATTGTTTGTAGTGGTGCGGAAATTGCAAAATTTGGACAGTTCCGGTTCTGGAACCGCTTTTCTAATTTTGCCGGTTCCGGTTCCACTTCTGGAACCGGTTCCAAATTTTTTCCGACCATTTACCGGTCCCACGTTTCCACTTCCTGAACCTTAACCCCCGCATCACTGATTGTTTGACCATTAACATACATACTATCATATATAGAATACAATATGGAAACCCTAATCCATTCACTTTCGCATTTAATTAATTAGGGTCAATAATTAGGATAATTAGGGTCAATAGGTAAACTTTGATTAGTGAATCAAGGCTGTCTATGACATTGAGTATGAGTTTTTGAAGGTTTGAATTAGTGAAATCGGCCATTTTTACATTAAATTTCATAAGATAAAAGGTTCAAAACCTTTAAATAAAAAAATTCAATTTAAAAATAAATTATTACCTCAGCACCCTCAAAATTATTCGTCCTGTTTGCCTTTTTCCCCTCTTGATTATTCCGGATTAATTTATTAGCCATATTAGCTAATCCTTTAAATCCTTTAGGAGGTGCTTTGCAATAATTAAAGAAAAGACAAATAATCAAAAAATTTAACGTTAGTAATGAAAAATAATTTTTATTTCTCATTTTTTTCAGTTAAATCTGAAGAGTCAAAAAATTAAATTTTTTTAAAGGGAATTTTTAAAGGCGAATTTAGCAATTAAAAAATTAAATTAAAGGCACTCTCATAAATGGAGAGAAAAAATGGCAACTGACGGATGAATTCGCCATTTGCATTTTTTAAAGGAAAGACTGCCATATAAGATTCAAAAATAAATAAATGTATTTTGGTAAATTTTAAAATGCTCAAACTACAATATTGGCTATGTCGGCTTTGACAAAAAAATAAAAAAATATTATAGCCGCCGGATTTTACAAAATTGGCTTTAGAGAAAATTTAAAAATTCAATAACCAATATTATTAATCAATTAATAAAGGGCAAATAAATAAATAAAAGCTAAGTTGCCTTTTAATTTTTTTAAAAGTTTTTATTGAGAAATACAGACATGGTCATGGATACGGATATGGATACAGAATATCCGGATACGGATACCAAAATCCGTATCCATGTCCTAGTCTGGAGAAATATAACTTAGCTAGGTAACTTAATTTCTCTAATAATTACCCCCACTCTCGATTATATAATTGCCCTTTCTCAATTAATGACGTCTTCAGTTTATTAAAATTTTCCTCCAGACGAGAGGGTAAGAAAATAATCACCCATTATAATTATTCAAGGATGAGCATGGATATTTGTTCTCTAAATATTGTATACGATGTTCATGCTATAAAAAATTCATTGGATGTGAGATGGAATAGAACAATCACGGAAAGGGCCCAGACCAAAGCACATCTACCGACTGGCCACCGTTCAACCAGAGTTGGGTCGGAATTCCGATTTTTGATTCCGACGTTTTTTCATTCCAATTTCCGAGTTCCGATTTCCGAGTTCTGATTTCCGGCTCTTCCGATTTCCGACACCTCTAACTGTTCCGACGCTTCTCTGCATCCAACCCGATGCTGGGTTATTTATTTTCATTTAGGTATATTCTTTCTGCAAGTGTGGACACAAAACTAGTAAATAAATCAGTTTAACTGATAACAATAAGTTACATCTATTAAAAAACATGTCACGACAAATGAGAACATCTAATAGGTGAAGGTGAAATCTTAATAATAATAAGACACTTTATTATTTTTAGTTTATCTTTTAAATTCAATTTTAAAATAAATTTCAAAAAATTATTTTTTTAATTTTAAAATTTCCCCCCATTTTAAAAAAATATAAATCGTTAAAACGCTTAAATGAAAGGGAGAACACTAAAAATTTTTAAATACACACTATTTATTTATTATTTGTTTGTTCTTCTCTTCCCTACAAAAAACTCTTGATATTCGCTGAATCAAAAATAAAATATGAGTCATTTAATTATTTTATATTTAAGCAATAAAAATTTTATCAAAATTATTTTAAATGTTTAAAAATTATTTTTTTCGTTTAAACACTATGTTAATTTATATTTTTGTTTGTTTCTATCAGACGTGGTAATGGACATGGATTTTGGTACCCGCATCCGGATATTTACGGCGGATACAGACGGATATCCGCAGGCATTTTGAACTTATCTGTATCCGTATCCATTACTAAGCTTGGTTTCTACAGCCCAGAGATGCCACGGGTTAAGGAAGTTTTGGAAAATTTTTAGGATCAGGGTTCGGGTCTAAGGTGGAAAAGTCCAAATATTAGGTTTCGGTAACCTGTGGCATCTTTGATACAGCCATGTCTCACTCCTACGTAGAACCAAACCTTCATTCTAGGTATAGGTATTTTTTAATGTTTGATCATTAGAGGGTAGGAGGGATGACTAAGCGACCTCCAATAATGGGTACAGCTCATTCTTACGTTAAATTTTTTCATCTCCGAAGATGCACGTAAAATTGAAATTCGGTTGTATTGGAGACTTTGAGTATCAATTATGAGAATAATATTGTAATTATTACCCTCGTATAATTTATTCAATTCTATTTAAATATTTAAAACACAACTATATATACATAGGTAATTATGGGTTTAACCGGTGTCATTTAATAAATGAAAATGAGTTTGGCTGTTATAAGATGATTCATCTGGCAGCATTTAAAACGTTTTAGGCGTGGGTTAGAGATTTTTAAGAGAAAAGGGAAATCGAAAATTTTAGCAGCGCTTGCAAATATTTAAGTAGGGTGTTTATGTTAAACTCTATAAGGAAAATTACTAGAGTGCAGAAAAATCGCATTTGAGGGATCCCGTGACGGGATTTTTTCAGAATTTTGTACGGGACAGGATCTCGCGGGATTAATCTCGCAAATCCCTGCGTCGCTTAAAACACGGAATTTCGGGACAGGATCCCGCAAAATCCCGTTCAAAATCCTTTCCCGTCCACACTCTAGTAATTAACTGGCCAAACAGATTCTATAAAAATAGCGACATTTTACAAAAACAAGTTTCAATCTTATTTTACTTCTTAATATCAAACACCATAAATTATCGCTTTATTTAGTTTTACATCATCAATTTCCCTTCTTTAATAATTAGTTTTTGTTGTTTTTACAAACCACCATTTTATTTAAATTTAAAAATTCTGCTAAAAACATAACGCCAAAATAATTTTATTTTTTGACATTTGCTCCCAATTTGTCAAAATTTATTTCCTAAATTTTTTTTAATCGTTTAGTCTTTGTTCTTAGAGGTCGGCACGGGACGGGAACCCGTGAGGGATTTTACGGGATCCCGGGTTTTCAGCAAAAAACGGGATTACCTGGATTTACGGAATTAATCCCGCGGGATCCCGTCCCGTACAAAATGTTGAAAAAATGTGATTTTACCGACCTCTGTTTGTTTTTCAGATTTTTTAAAATTATTCTTTTCTTCATCTATAACTCTTATACTTCCTAAAAACAACAAAAAATGTGTATTTCCAAACTCGGCCAAACAATTTATGGGGTATTGGCTTTAACTATTGTTGCTTTAACTTTAGCTTCAATGTTTACCCCAGGTTTATTACAGTAAAGCTTGTGCTGGGCCAGGATGGTATTGGGATGTTGGGCGGGTTGCGTGCGATGTTAAGGGTCCCGAGAGGCGATGCCGATGAGTATATTGCGGAGCGGAGGGTAGGCCTTTCTATGCGCTTGTATAATGCTGGTCGGTTACGAGACCGACTTGCCCGGGATAATATGCGCTGATTAATAAGCTCTTAGGCTTCTTCTGCAGGATTAATGAATAAGCTCTCAGCTTCTTCGGCCGGTTTATTCACTTCTCTATTGATTACTTTCCAACTGACTGGTGAACAGTCGACTGATCCCCTTTTCACTATTTTCCACTTAGTTTTATCCTAAAGCCTTATTTGTCATCTCCTCCCCTTTTTCAATCCTTTCCCAGAGGAACTAAAGTTCCTTTTCTCCATCCTTGCCCATCCGGATCAAAGTCCGCCTTACACCTCCAACCTCGGGGAAGACCGTCCCCTGGTCTTTTCTTAATTTCCCAAATTTTAAATTTTATTTATTTTCATTTTATTTTATTTTTAAACCTACCACAATTTACAGCTTTACCATGTGCCCCAAGTCTGTGCCTCCATTTTCTATCTTCTTCTTTTCTCATCTTCTTCTACAGTCTCTTGCCAAGTGTCCGGAATTTCCACATCTGTTGCAAATAATTTGTCCTCTTCCTGTTCGTAATTCACCACCACGTATTAGCTTAACTTCTTCAACTTTCACTTCAATTGACCTTCCCTTTAAATCATTGAGTACTCCATTCGAGTCGCGTGTTGGTTCCTCATTTTCCATAACCTCCAAATAGCGTTCGTCAACAAAAGGAGTGTGTTGTTTTGCCGCAGTGATGAATCTTCTCCACGTTTCGCCTTCCCGTATGGCTTCAAAATCGGCAATAATGACTAGTCCACTTTGTGCCCTGGACAACGCTACGGTGGCGCGTCTGCTATCCTTCAAAAAGTCAGAGGCATCGGCGCGAGCTGCAGAGCCAGGTGATTTAGTGCTCGTTGTTACAAGAATGATTAAACGGTGCTCGCGGCTTTGAAACGCATCTACAGAATTTACTGAGACTTGTAGATTTTCTTGTTGGAGCCTTTCTCTTATTTTCTCGCATTGAAACGTGTAGAGGCAAATAATGGCAACACCTTGAGGATCTCGGTGTTCCAACGCTTTTGCAATTATAATCGCTGCCTCTGTCTGTTCAGGTGATGATAACGAGTAGGAGGCGCTGTCTTGCTCGATTGTGCCTCTAATGTTCAGAAGTATGAGTGGAACGTCATTGACCGGAAGATTTATTCCAAGCTTTGTTAATCCTGTGCGCCTTGATGCGGGAACAGCTGCAATCACTCTTTCGCCGTGTTTTTCATAAGAGGAATAGTCAAAGCATTCAGTTATAATTGGGTGTGAGCGGTAACATCGTTCTAAGATCGTGACTGATACTCTTTCGCAATTTTCCATTTGATCGGTTACACTTTCAAGACCGTAACCAGTTTGAATAACTTCTGGTAGTTCTTTCAGGTGAGTGCCCAGTTGACGGACATCCCCCGTCAAGAGGACAGACCGTACAAGTGGTAATTTGCAAAGGAGGTGAACCATCATGGAGAAGCTTGTCTGAGTAACCTCGTCGATTATGAGGTGTGTAGTCGATACATGAGCGCGTGGTATTCCTAAACACATGTAGATTGTTCCGAAGATCGCATTTTTAAATTCTCTAGCCAAATAAATTTCTCCTACTTTCCTTTCTTTGGTGTGTCGTGGTTTATCTTTGATGTGTGCCAGGTAATCCGTTACGTCTCTCTTCTCGGAACCTTCTAACTTCTCTGCAAATTTTCCTTTTATTTTATTTTCAAGTTGGTGTTCATTTAGTAAGAGTATTTGATCTCCATATCGGATGCGTGCTGTCGAGGCGAAGAATGCCAACATCTCACTGCCAAGATTGATTTGGGCACTTTCATCGATCAACTTGCTCACAGGCAAGTTTGAATTTGCCGTGGCCAAGACTGCAATTTTTGGGTCCTTCTTCAGAGCTGCGGCTATACATGCGGCTGCCAGGCGCGTTTTTCCTGTACCTGGGGGCGCCTGCTGGTAATGTAGGCGCCCCCTTCCTTCATGCAGCCAATTAGAGAGTGTATTTTGCTGTTCTTCATTTAAACTTTTTACACACTCTAATTCCTTCGGAATATCACCTCCAACCACCGAATCGTCCGTCCCTGGACGACCGAATAGCGCCTTGAGTATTTCAGTTCGTGGAGATTTTTCTTCTTTAATTAATTGAGTTGGGGTGTGTAGGCCAAAAGTATCTGCTTGATCGCGGTATCCACCGGGTGTTTCGGCAACTTGAATAATTGTTAACATTCCGTGTGTCATAGCTTCAAAGTCTTCATCGTGTTCATAAAGACCTTCATTTGGGACTAGAATTATATTAACTTCAATTTGTAGTAGACCGTCGTCTCGATCACATTTAAATACTTCTTTTATGTAACCGTTAGCAAATGCCTTCCTTTCAAAACCAGTTTTAGCAGTTACTGATGTATCTTTTGTCCAAATACTGAGTACTTTAGCTATGTGGGATTTTTGTTCGTGTATGTGGTTAATCGTGAATGTTCTCTTCTTTTCATCTTCAATCGGTTTAACTACTCCGAAATAACTGGTTTCCATTCTACCAACTTCTTCATTTTCCGCTGCAGTAATTAAAGCTGCTGCAATTATGTCTTCAGCCAACTTCATTTCCTTGAGTGTATAATCCTTATCAATAGGAAATACTTTCGGAAGTCCTGTCTTCGTTAACCAGCGCCATTTTTCAGTGAACGGTTCAGCACAGGCTAAGATTTGAGATCCTTCTTTAGCCATAATTTCTGTTCCGAGTCTATATGATCCTCCGGGTGGAACTATATAATTTGTTCCTATCATCCAACCAGCTGGGATTGGAGCTAATTTTAGATTTACAAATTCTGATAGCCGTGTTTTTGATAAGTCAAGACCGTGTCTGCATTGTTTTGCGTATAGCATTCCAGATCTCTCCATTCCATACGCTGTCACACGAGCTAGCGCTGCTTTGCCTTCTTTCTTCTTCAAATATACAATAATTCCTGTTTTAGTTGTCCAATAAGGAAAGTGTGTTACATCAATCATTAATGCTGTGGCTTGGTAACTTAACATTCCTGTTTCCTTTCTATACCAGTTGTCAATAGTAACTTGTCTTCTTCCTTCAATCCATGCAAACTTAGTTACGAATATTGAGTCTCCTGGAAATAGCGGACGTTCAAGATCAGTTGTTAGTTCATCGGGAATTTCAATTGCAAACGGCCACATCGATAATTTTTCAGGGTTTGGAATAACTGCGATTGATCGTTTCTCTTGCACTTGAGAAACCACATATCTCTTCTTTCGACTTGCAGTTATGGCTTCCTCTTCAATCTTCTCTTTCTTCTTTTCAGATTTTGATTTTACTTCTTGCCATTCCTGATTTTCAAAAGCCTTATTAGCAAATGATTCTTCTTTATTCGGGTTTTCCCAGTTAGAAGACGATTGAGCCCATTCAGATTCGTTTATTTCGCCTTCCTCCATTTGTTCTTCTTCATTTTCCTCGTTTATTTCCATATCTTCTTCAAGAATGAGCTTTTCCATACTTTCAGAAATTTCTTGTCTTTCTTCTTTTTCAGCATCTTCCATGATCTTTTGGAAAGCCTCTTCTTCTTCCACACTTGTATGTGTGGTTGATTTTGGTTTTTGTGAACCCGTAGGTTCCATGGTCATAAGACCAGCAGTTTTGTTTAAGTTTTTTGAATCCGTAGATTCCATGGTCAAAAGACCAGCATTTTTATTTAAGCTTTTTGAATCCGTGGATTCCATGGTCAAAAGACCAGCTTTATTTGTTGTTGTTGTTTCATTTTTCTCAGATTTGAAATAAAAATGACCGCGGCCACGTTTTCTAACATTTTGATTGTCCATTTATAACTAAAATTTAAAAATTTTAATTAAAAAAAAATCTTGAATTGGGAGAGGAAAAAAAAAATTAAATGTGAGTTAAACACGCGGTTATGTAAAAAAAATTAAATGTAAGATAAAATACGCGAATAAAAAAAATTGATTAATTGATATAGTTTTAAATGATTTTGTTAAAGAATGAAAGTTAAAAGATTGATTAAGTGAAATTAGATGAATAGAGTAAAAGTTTTGAATGTATGACCCCTATAAGTTTTATTTTTTAGAAGGAAAACTTCTTCTTTTTGGGATTTTCTCGTAAATTATATTTCTTTTGAGTGTTCTTTTGTACTAATTCAGTGTTCGAGTTTTGATTTTCCTGTATATCGGGAGTTTCTATTTCTTGGGAAATATTTTCATTTTCAATACCTTCGTTTTCTTCAGCTCTTTCCAGAGCCTTTTCTTCTTCACTCGATAATTCAGGTACCGTACAAGCGGGTGTTAGTGCTTCAAAACACTTTTTTAGTTGATTTATATGTACTTTTCTGGGTGTACCCTGAAGTGAGTTACAACTTACTATTGTGACATGTACTCCATCAATTTTTACTACTCTAAATACACCTTTCCAAGGCATATGAAATTTCTTGGAAGTACCTATTTTCCCTGCATAGTTTCTGAGTAATACTCTATCTCCTACTGTGACTGTGGGATTTCTTACTAATTTGTCATATTGAGTCTTTGCTCTTAACTGTGCTTGCTTATTTGCTTCATCTGCAGCCTCCCAGGCGCTTCTAAGTGAAGTGATTAGTCTTTGCTTAAATTCGGAAATGTCTGTAAACGCAACAGGACTGTACACTGACGGGTCTAGTATCTGGTCTACGCAAAAGATAGGATCACGACCAAACATGAGAAAGAATGGCGTTTCACCTGTCGACACGTGTATCGAAGTGTTATAACAGAAGCATGCGCAGTCTAAAAATTCGTCAAAATCTGGTTGATCCTTACTTATGTACTTGGAGAGAATATTATGGAATGTTCTAAAGGATCTTTCAGTAACTGAGTTTCCTTGAGACCAGTGTGGTGTGGCATAGCTTTTATTAATGTATAACATTGAGCAGAAGTCCTTAAAGAATTCGCTTGTAAAAGCTGTGGCATTGTCAGTTACTAGTTCAACACAGCCACCATATTTTAAATAGCAATTATTGAGAAATGCTCTTGCTAGAGTCATTGCTTTAGTGTCAGGGACTGGTACCGAAATAACGTATTTAGTGAACCAGCAAATTATATTCATTACATGTTTATTGCCATTTTGTGTTAGTGGGAATGGTCCTGCTAGATCTAACCCAACTTTAGCAAACAGTGTATTAACTGGTACCATTTGCATTTCTGCCCTATATGGTGGATTGGGTGAGTGTCTAAGTTGACAAGTTATACAGTTTCTTGTCCAGGTTAAAATATCAGCGTGCATTCTTGGCCAATAATATTTTCTACACTTCTTGAGGGTCTTTTTCAAATTCATGTGTCCACCCCCTAGTTGAGAGGAGTGAAATGAGTCAAAAATTAGAGCCATGAGTGAAGATGGTACAAATATTCGTGGTTTAAAATTCGGAAGTTTGTGACATAGTATATCCCCTATAATTCTCAGTTTTCGGCATTTAATACGAATTTCTCCTGATCATTGTGTGATATGTCTTCTGGGAGTTCCCTGGTTTTTATAAATTTAATATAATCTGCAGCTTCCATGTCATTTTCTTGTTCTTGCTTAATGTCTATTGCATAATTTTCATTTTCTTTCCTAAGTGTTAACACTGAGGCGTAATGTTCATTAATAAGCCCATCTTTTATAGGGAGCGTGAAACAAACTGGGAATTCTGCAATGTCTTCTAGTTCAGTTTGCTCTTCTTCAGGCTGGTTTTGCAATCGCGAAAGTGCATCAGCGAGTAGATTTTCTTTACCAGCTATGTGTACAATTTTAATATTGTAATTTTGCAATTCTATAAGCCAGCGTGCTAAATTTGGGCTTGCATCTGCTTTCTTTAGTAGGTAAGCAAGAGGTTTGTGATCTGTGTGCAGTTCTATTTCAGCCATATAAATAAAAGGTCTGAATTGTCTTAAAGAGAATATTATGGCGCCCAGTTCGATTTGGACGGGTGCCTATTTGCGTTCTGAAATTGTTAGAGTCCTGCTACAGTACGCGATTGCTTTATATGTATTATTTTCAATATCTTTTTGCATTAGAGCGCCTCCCTGTCCAGTAAGGGACGCATCGGTGAATATGTGGAAAGGTTTTTCGTAATCCGGAAATACAAGAACTGGTTGACTAGTTAGGATTTTCTTGATTTTATCAAATGCTTGCTGTTGTTCGTCACCCCAATGGAATTCGATTTCCTTCCTAGTAAGCTTTGTGAGAGGTTCAACTATTAGCGAAAAGTTTTGAATATGCTTTCTGAAAAATGATGCCATGCCTATAGCTTGCCTAACTTCTTTGACAGTGGTGGGTGCAGGTAAATTATTTATTGTTTCAACTTTAGCGATACTGGGAGTGTACCCTTTGGCATTTATTGTGTATCCTAAGAAATTCATTTCCCTTGAGGCAAATATGCATTTCTTGGGACTTATTTTTAGAAAATACTTTCTTAATCTGGTAAAGACCTGCCTTAATGCATTTAAATGTTTATCAAAGTCTGGAGATTTTGTAAAGACTAGGAAATCATCTACATATGCTAGAACACACTCATCTAATCCGCTTATTACATGCGCCATTACTCTCGCAAATGCGCTTGTTGCGTTCCTTAGTCCAAAAGGCATGTGTGTCATTTGGTATATCTCATCTTCCATTATTACTCCACATTTTCTAGAAGCTCTTTCTGTTAATCTAATCTGTAGGTAACCGCTTGACAAATCTAGTGAGGAATAATAGTTGCAGTTTCCTATCCTTTCCATTATTGATTCTAATCGCGGAAGAGGAAAGTGGTCTGGGACTGTTACTTCGTTAAGTTTCCTAAAATCAATGCAAGGTCTTAAACCTCCGTCTTTCTTTTGTACTAGAACTATGTTCGATACCCATGGAGTGTCTGATTTAACCATTACTCCAGATTTTAAAAGTGCTTCAATGTGTTTCTGAAGTTCTTCTCGGTATTTAAATGGAACTCTATGTGGCCTAGATGTTATAGGTTCTTCAGTTGTGGTAATAATGTCGTATTCCCCTGCTATACATGACCCTAGATCATATTGTGTTTTACTAAATACATCAGAAAATTCTTCACACAATTTTTCTAATTTTTGTCTATCTTCCCCCTGTACTGAGCTTTTAGAAAAGTCTACCTTGAATGTCGGATTTGCTTCTACAGTGTTTACATATTCATTGACATTAATGTTTTCTACCTGTGTTAACCATGGCTGTTCATTAATTGACCAAACCTCATCAGCCAGAGCAATGTGCATTCCTTTACATATGTGCTTTGGTTCCGTTGTTGGATTGGCAATCAAAATTTTGTTTTCTTTTGCATTTGGTGTGACCACTGCCTCAATGAGTGCAAGATGGTCCTTCTCAAGCCTTTGGTCCAGTGAGTGTACAAGTGCCAATTTTTCTCCTCCATTAGTTTTAATTTTCACTGAAACAAGTCCGTGTTTTTCTGGTAAAATTGTTTTAGCTTCAATAGCTGCTACACGCATGTTTTTTGACTTTGACTTATTTTTATCTGAATAATTAAATTTGTTTTCAAAATTAATTTTTCCTTTATTAAAATCGAATGTTATTGGCGGAAGTCTTTTTAGAATGTCACATCCTATAATTAATTGGTATGTTCTATTTCCTGTAATTTGATTGTCTTCAACCACTCTTATAGTTACAGGTAATTTAGTTCCCGCCATTTCTAATAATACTTCAGCTTGAGCTAATACATTAATTTCATGCCCAGAGGCAGACGTTATGCTAATTGTTGCTGGTGTTAGGTTTAGTCCTAAAGTCCTTGCAAGTGAGATAGGAGCAATCGATATGCTCGCACCTGTATCAATTAAACATTTTACTGCTTTGTTGTTTATAAACACCCCAGTTATTGTGGGACATGACTGTAGGGTATTTATAGAAAAATTTTGTGATGCCGTGGCATCCATGTCTTTCGACAGCTTTTTATCACACATTTTGTTTGCTCTCATGACATTTACAGTGTGACCTTCAGTTTCTACCGATTGAGGAAATTTAGAAACCTTTGGGATCCAAGACATTTTTCGTCTTTGTGACCTTACACTTGGAGTTTTTTCTCTTTTAAACTCAGGATTTTTGTTAACTTTGACCATTGGAATCTCTTCTGTGTTTCTGTTAATGCTTGTCTGTCTAGCTCTGTTAATTATATTTCGACTTTGACCAAATAGCATATTTCCTAACTGTCCTTGTCCTAAATAATTTTCTGCTGCTTTAATTCCCCATCTTATTACTAAATCTAGAGTTAATATGGCTATTAAAATTGATATTATGACCTTCCAAATCCATGTATAGTCCCCAATAATTTCAGTAACGAGACTATTTCCTGCCTCTTTCCATTGATCAGAGAGCGTTTTTACTATATGCATATCTTTTTGTTCAATGCGATATGAAATTTCGCTTGCACGGACTAGGTTACTCATGAATGTATGCGTTTTGAGATCCGTGAGATTTACTAGCATTAATTGATGGAATGAGTGTGATTTTATTTCAGGTATACTGTAGGATTTGAGTTCCCTTAAATTGATTGGACGAGGTTGAATTTTTCTAAATTCTCCTGAGGTCTGGTTTACTTCTAGTACCTCATGATTTATTTCTACAATTGTTTTCCCATATATTGAACAAGGTGCTTTTCGAGCTGTGGGCTCAATTGTCATGGTTAGTGGATTAAGGAATGCTAAGTGTTCCCGACTTTCTGCTTTGAACTGAATTGGGATTAAGTCGAAACATTCGCTAAGATTAGTAGCTTTGAATGAGTACTCGTAATTTTTGATTGCTATGCATGGCCATACACGCAGTAGTGATGACCCTTCTCGTTTTGCCGTGACATAGTCATTTTCAAATATCATCCTAGCAAGGCCCGTTGGGTTGGACAGATATGCGGCAAGTGCCCATTTCTTAACTAGATCCAAATTTTGGCAAAAGGTTTTAAGCGAATGCGTGAAAGTAAATGTTAGAGTGTCAGCCATTTCTTTGTCTAAATATGTTAGCTTCGCTGCCATTTCAGGTGATGTTACTAAGCTAAGTTTTTGGTTACTGACGCTTCTTTTAGAGCGACTCCTAGTAACTGTAGCTAGTCCTTGTTCGGAAATTTCTAGAATGTTACTGCAATCCCAAAATTTTGGAGTTGGTTTAGCGAAATGAAGTGCTAATTGTGCGTCATCCGACAACCAGGTGTTATCTAAAAATTTTCCTTCCCAAGTCCCAATCTTGATATATCGACACATTCTATCCTTTGTGGGTTCCCATTTTAGTACAGTATTGTCACTTAATACACAAAGACCCTTCGAATAGGAGCAATTATTACTTTCCCCAAATGAGGTTCCTATACCTTCTTCACCCCAATGGGAATTAATTTGTACACTAAATAATAAGCAATTTTCGGATTTGACCTCGGTCCACCAAAACGATCCTATAAACCACATTTTCGGACTCGCGTCTATTTTATTTGAAGTGGTCCAAAGATCATTTTCTTCAATTAATTTACCTAGACTACATTCTTTATTTTTAATCATTCTCTTACATTCTTGTTCATCTACTGGGAGAATTTCTGAGCCTACAGGTTCATTGATTGGTACATTAGAAAGGGTTGTAAATTTTCTAAGAGTTTTTCTTATTTTTCTACAAGCCCATCCTTGAGTTGTGTACTCAAGGTCATTTAACATATACACATTTCTAGTTTGTGAAATTGGAACATGAGAAATATTTGGAGAGGGTATTGGACAGTCTGTCATGTCCGGAAGAGACCATAAAGTAGACTGTTTTTCAGTTTGGCATATCATTGGGTACTGTGGAATTGATAATCTTTCGATTGCCTGCAGTGGTGCTGCTAGCGCTAATACTAGAATTACCATTGGGAGTAGTTTGGGACTTAATTTAAAAGGTTCCCAAGAGACAATCGAGGGTTTTTCCTTCTTAACATTTAATTGCTTTTCTTCGGGTTCGTCATTTATTGGCTTTGTTTCACCATGTAAGAGATTAACATTTTGTGAGGCCCCATTATTTTTAGAGCTTCCCACCTGCATGTTCCTTAGGGTTGATAATATTTCTTTTAGCATACCACTATCATTTGACATATTTGATGGACCAACATCTGGTTCCCTTCGGCTTTGACTACGTTGTGTTTGAAAGTCTGCAATTCTGGTGCGACATACATTTGCAAAGTGACCAACTTTCATGCAATAATTACAAATAGGTCTGTTGTTCCATCGTCGATCATTGGTTGGTGTTCGCATTTGTCTTGTGTCACGATAGTTCATGTCTCGTCGAAGGTTGTTTTGCCTAAATTCTCCAAAATTATTTCGATTATTTTGAAATTCATTTTTATTTTGACTTTGTCCCCACCTTTGTCCGAGCTTTTGTCTATTTGGATTGGTGGGATTTAGTGATTGGAACTTCCCTGGTACATTAAAGGAATTTGATTGTTGCATTGCATGCACTTCTTGAGTTGGCATGTCAAACATTGATCCAGTACCTCCAGGTAGCATGATTTCGACTTCACGAAGATCTAAGCATAATTGTTCAAAACCTCTATCTGTCTGAGAAAAGTTTAGTAATTTCATACAAAATGCTATGTTTGGTCTTAAACGTTCTAATAAAAGTTCACACAGATAGCGTTCCTTGTTTGGACCAGAAATATCAGCAGCTGTAGCCATTGCCAGAGGTCTAAAGCGTGATAGGAAATCTTTGACTGACTCACCTTCGTGTTGACGGCACATTAAAAGCGCCTGTCTTGAGAGGGCACGTCGTTGAGGAGAGTCCAACTCCTTTCTTATGCTTTGAAGTGCCATTTCACACGTTAATTTTTGAGTTGGAGACAATTCTTCAAAGATTCTTTTGGGTGTGTCTTCCAAAAATAAAGACAACCGAGCAAGTTTTTCTTCTTCTGAAAGTTTTACCCCAAAGACCTTAATTCTCTCTAAAAATTTCTTTCCCCATTTATCAAATGATATAATATTGTCATCAGAATATACCTCAAGCGCTGGGATACCTTCGTGATGAAGCATGTTCAGAGTGTGAAAGCCTTCATCATTTGTCATGGGTAGGTGTCTGACTTGTCCATCCACCTGTGATTCATCAGCCCAGTTATTGTCATTATTTTCACTAAGATTCGAAATGTTTAGTTCTGGAATAATAAGAGGCATTAATGTTTGTTGTCCTACCCTTATTTTATTTGGAGAGGCAGACCTAGCCTTTCTTTTAGATAATTCAGTAATGTTTTGCTCACAGCTATTTATTTTGTCGCCCAAAGTGGAAAACCCTTGATTAACCTCCTCGGCTAATTTGGTTAACCCTGTTGAATTTTGGTTTACCTTGCGACTCATGAGTCGAATAGAGCGGTTTACACCCTCCTCTAAACGTATTGTTTCACCAAATACCTGTTCAATGTCCTGTATCTTCAGCTGAGCTGTGTTGGATTTACCTATTAGTAGTTTCTTGTCAACTACATTGATTGGCGTTTCCTCCAAACTGGAAGAAGACGAGGAATTTTGTGGTACCTTGGTACCCGCGGGCGTAATGCCCTTGTTGCTTGAGTCTTCAGGACCAACCATGAAGACCAATTAATCGTTGCTTTTGTTGCTTTCTGATAGCTTTTAAATTTTATCTGTAATTGATACTTTAATTTAAATAAAAAAAAATTAAAAAAAAAATTCTTAAGTGTTAGCCTTGCTATAAGTTAAAGAGAACTAAAAGTGAATCTCTAAATATTAGAATGACTCCTGCTTACAGTTTACATGAATGTTAAGCAAATGTTGAAATGCTTCTTCATTTAAATGTTTAAATAACTGTGAATGCTTAATCATCCCTTTCGGATGTTTATATAAATGTTTAGATGCTTATCCTTTCCTTTAAACATTTTTCCATTAATTTATTTTTACTTTACACTGAATTTTTCTCAAACACAATGTTTAGATAAATGTTTAAAAGCTTATCCTTTTTCCCATTAATTTCCTTTTACTTTACACTGTTCTTTTCCCAACAAACTTTTCACTTTTTTTTTTTAGATTGTAATTGTTTATCTTTACTTCCGCTCTTTTTCTTTCCCCTTCTCTTTGCTTTAATTTTTTTTTGAACCTTTGACCCCTTTTGGATTGGATGTAAAAAAATTTTGGTTCATACATTCAAAATTCTTTAAAGAAGATTTAGGAAATATTGTAAAAGAGGAATTCTATAATGAGCGCGAAAATTTTGTCGAGAGTTACGAAAATAAAAAAAAAATCAAAATTGTTGGACAGTGAATCATTTAGGGGAAAAATAACACGAATAAACAAAAAAAAATTTTTTTTTTTTTTGCATAGGGCAATGGATTTTAAGGCAATAGTTGAAAACTCCAACAAATAAAATTTAAAAAAAAAATTGTTGTAGGGCAATAGATTTTAACACAATCATTGAGTAAAAGAAAATTTAATGTAAAAAAAAATCGTTTATTGGGCAGTAGAAAGCCATATATAAGCAAATTTATTACCCTTATTTAAATATAGATAAAAGCAGTTTTAAATAATTGATAGAAAAGATGCGCGTTGCTTTTTGAATTATTTTTGTTAAGTCTGAACAGTTTTGCGTTTCTTTAGTTTTTAGCGTTTTGTTTTCTTTTGCAATGCGTTCTGGCGTTTTTTTTTAGTTGAATGCGGCTAAAGTACGAAAATGCCAGATTCGTATTTTTTAAACCCCCAAAAAAATTTGGATTTTGACTGAGTCATTACAGAGGTACCAACCATACATACACGAAACGTTTCGATTATTTGTTTCTTATGTTTCGTATTATTTTTGGTGTTTCGTGATTTTTTTTGAATTTTGTGAGACCTCTGATTTTGTAATTTTAAAGCCAAAACTGAAGCCAACTGCTAAAAAATTCCCCCACGTTTATTGATAATTTAAAATTTTCGCCTGCGGCGCAAAATGGTGATAAGAAAGGTAGGGTTTCTTTTTTCTATTTTGTATTTACTAGAATATTTAATATAAGTGTTAAAGTAGTCGTTGATTTAAATAATAAAAGTAAAAGATATATATAAAATCGAATATTTTGTGAGCGAAAAATTATATTGTGTTTGTTTAAAAAGGATTATAACATTTGAAATATGGTTTGATAAAAACTTTTGAGCAATGATTTCAGTGTATTTGTAGAAAATAAATAAATGTGTTTTTTGAATTTTGAAGCCCGAAAACAACATTGAAAATAAGCGATTTTATTTAAAAAAAAAAAAGAATTCCCCCTAAATAAAACCGGTATTTGCAACTCTAATTTATATGTATATTTAAAAATATTTGTGTAAAACTATATATATATTTTGTGGAAAGTATTTTGGAAGACAGACGGAATAAATAAAAATGTTTTATTTGAAAAAAAAAGGAAAAGAATAAAAGTCGTTCCTTTCTATCTTATGACACAGACAAAAAGGATTTTATTTATTTATTTTTTTAATTTTCAGTCGTTACTCTTTTCCCCACTTTTATGTGTAAAAAAAAATTGTTGTTCGCAACCTTTTTTTTTAAATCTTTTTATTGGAATGGACAATGACTCAGCTAAAACTCATTTTTCTTTGGTTTTTTTTTGTGTCTAGGGTAATGTCTTCTGACTAATTGATACTTTAAAGATTGGAAAAGAATATAAAAAAAATATATATATATATTTTTTGTTGAAAGTGTTTTTAAAGAAAGTAAAAAAAATTTTAAAGAAATTTTGAAGAGGAAGAAAAAAAAAATTGTTTTTCCGATTATTGAAAAAAATTGTTGAAGAAAAGTATTTCTTTTTTTTTGATTGTAGAAGAATTAGTATAATAATAAAAGGAAATTTTTCCATTGTTGACTTTTTAATAAAAGAAAAAATTTTTTTTTTTAAAAAAGAATTTTGAAGAATTTTTGTTGTTGTTGAAATTAAAAGAATGAAGTAAAAAAAAATTTTTTTTTGAATTTTTGTTGTTGAAGTAATTAATTTTTTTTGTGTATATATTTTTATATACATTTATTATTTTTTGTAGGCCCGTGGGCCTCATGCCACAATGGCAGCTTTTCTTCCTCCATTCCGCACCTCACCTGGATCCCCTCCCCACCGCCATGGCCAGTGGCGGGGGGAGGTGGGACGGTGCTACCAGTAAAGCTTGTGCTGGGCCAGGATGGTATTGGGATGTTGGGCGGGTTGCGTGCGATGTTAAGGGTCCCGAGAGGCGATGCCGATGAGTATATTGCGGAGCGGAGGGTAGGCCTTTCTATGCGCTTGTATAATGCTGGTCGGTTACGAGACCGACTTGCCCGGGATAATATGCGCTGATTAATAAGCTCTTAGGCTTCTTCTGCAGGATTAATGAATAAGCTCTCAGCTTCTTCGGCCGGTTTATTCACTTCTCTATTGATTACTTTCCAACTGACTGGTGAACAGTCGACTGATCCCCTTTTCACTATTTTCCACTTAGTTTTATCCTAAAGCCTTATTTGTCATCTCCTCCCCTTTTTCAATCCTTTCCCAGAGGAACTAAAGTTCCTTTTCTCCATCCTTGCCCATCCGGATCAAAGTCCGCCTTACATTACCTAAAAATTTTTTGATATTTTTATTTTTTCTTTTAGGCTGGCGCAAAATAAATGCAGAAGTGAAAGAAGGCGAAGACCGCAGCAAAATAATTAATCAAACAATTTCTTTGGGAATTTTCCCTTTCTCGTGCGGGTGGGAGTTGGGGAAATCTGAGTTGCATTTGAATAAGTCGGAGACTGATGCTAATTGTCAAAAGTGGTGGGAGGTATGTTTTTGTGTTTTTTGTGTTTATCTGCGGATCTGACCTAAATCAAGGTCTGAAATCCTGTAAAGAACTAGCAAGCTCAAACGTCTTGGTTCTGGGTACGGGAAAGACCCATGCCCAACCTGACCATTTTTGGGGTAACTTCCAAGGGAAACTTTATAGCAACCTCAAAACATGACTTGACTTTGAGAGCAGGAAGGACCAAGCTCGATCTATATTTGGATACCTTCCAATTATTTTTTGGCTACCTTCCTACCGCAGCCCAACCTACCGCCGAGGCTATAACTTTTTTCAGAATTGTCGAATCCGGGACGCCTTGGTATGGTTCGGTACGCCTCGACGAGCTGAATCCAACCATACCAAGTTGTCTCAGATTCGACAATTTTGAACGAAGTTATAGCCTCGGCGGTAGGTTCGGCTAGGTAGATCGGTAGGTTCGGCTCGCGGTAGATTTTAACCTTGAAATTTTAAAAAAGCCTAGCCCTAAAACTTTTTCTCTCAAAAAACTTTGTAGGAGAACTTCTCCCCATTGGAATTCTTCCCTAGCTAAAAAATCTTTATTTTTCAGAATCAACCAACATATGAGAAATTTGTTTTGGTATTTATGATTCTTGCCCTTCTTTGTTCTATTGCTGCCTTTATTTGGAATGCTTTGACATTTTGTTGTTGTATTGGGAAAGGTTTTTTTTGTGAGGATTTTTCTAAAAAAATATTTTTTGTAGGAGGAATTTTCCGTCCATTGCCTTCATTGGCATCTGCTTCAGCATTTCTTCTTTTATTTGCACTAGTCATCTATTACTTTAACAACGATAAAGATATTGGTATTTTTTATTTAATTTTGAAGTTTTGGGGTACTTTATGGATATTCCTCCGTCACCTTGTTTGAGTCTCAAAGTTACTTTCTATTTTTCCCTCAATAATTTCTGCCCGAGCAGTATAGGGGAAGGTGCTTAAATGAGGAAGTCTGACCCTAATATGTATAGCCTAAAAAAGGAAAGAATAACTCGGACTCAAACTAGGAGGGGGGAGGGGGAGAGGATATTCATAAAGTACCGAGTATTTTTATTATCTTAATGGCCTCTAGGCAGCTTTTAATAGTAGTAAGTAGCTTCCCTAGCTTTCCAAACGATACCCTCTATTTAATTTACCCCTCATTACAAGAATTAATTTTTTAAGCCCAAGGGGATACAATGAAAGCCTTATATAATGTCACTCTTTAGTCTTCTGAATTTGCCGACGTTAGAGAGAAAATGACTTGAAGGGACGTCAAATCTAGCAAAATATGAAAGGAGGACAGTTAAGGAAAGCTTCCACTATTACCTTTTAATTTTTGTATTTAATTATAAATTTATTTTTTTCAGAAGTTTTAAAAGCCTGGGACAATATCAAAACAATTGAAGACAACGATATTAGCTACAGTTTCTTCTTGGCACTCGGGGCATTTGTTTTGTGCTTGGTTAATTGTCTGGTAGGCTCTGTTGTTATGTCCGCAGCGGAAAAGTGTTGTTAATTGGAAAAATAAATTGAAAAAATAAATTTAAATATTAACAGAATAAAAAAATATTTTTTTAATCTCTAAGGGATCGGAATTTAAAATTTTTTTTTAATTTCCAAAAAATATTTCGATCCCGATTTTCTTAATTACATATTACTAAAAATGTTTTAATCCCTTTAAAATGACCTTCCTTCCCTCTCTTTGTTAATTAAAATATATAATTTGTATAATTTATTTTAAATATTTTTGTCTATTAAAAATTAATTTTGTTTTTTATGTATTTAAATTTAAATAAAATTTGCCAAATGTTGGACAAAAAATATCATCGCCCACGAGGCAAAACCCCGCGCGAATCGTAAGTTTAGTTCAAAAAATGACAAAGAAATGGGTAATTTTTGCTTTTACAATCTTAATTTTATAAGCCAGATAACTTTTTTAACTTATTTTATGCGCATATTTCACTGTTTTTACTTGCATATAAATTCTAGTCTTAGTTATCACTTGATAAACAAAAAGCGACATTTTTTATGAAACGACATATTGGTACATATAGAACAAATAAATAAAAAGAAATTCCCGAAAGAAAGGAAGTGATAATTTCAATCTTTGCAACGAAGACAAAGATCAACAAGTGCCCCAGGCATCGATTTATGGAAAAAATCCGGATCTGTCAAATAAGCCATATAATTTAGCAAAAGACATTCATTGTTTCCACAATTGAAGCAGAATTCAATTAAATGAAGCAATTCTGCATATCTTTTAGCTCCTGCCAATGGTCCATAGCGATTCTGAAATAAATTATTTAAAAAACTAAATGCCACGTTAAACTTTATTGGTAAGATTTGGATAAAATAACGCTAAGTATTTCGAATTTTCAAAGAATTGTCGGGATTTGTTCCCAAAAGTTTCGAATATTTCAAATAAAGTCTTAACTTTGGGAAAATTAATTCTAAGGTAGCTCCCCGTTCCACGACCCCGATAATTGTTGGATTCTACATCACAAGCAGGGTGGACGCAAGAAACAATTGCAAAAAACGAAAACGAAAAGCAAGAACGCAAAACGCAAAAATGGGGAAAATTTTTTATCAGCCATTTTTCAATTAAAAATTGAAGGGAAAAATTCCGTCATAAGTCCCGGAAACCGATTCAAACAAACAATATGTCATTTGAAAGAGCTCGGCGAGCTGAGTCGAATGACATCAAAATTAGGTCCCGGTCTCACCCATGGACCGAGATATAGGCCCCCGAAAATCGAAAAATCATAGGGGGGACCAAGCTCAATTTTGTGATGAAAAATTCGATATACAAATAATAGCTCATTTGAAAGAGCTCTTCAAGCTGAGTCGAATGACACCAAAATCGCCGTGATTGGTCAAGTTTTTCGAAGTTATGACAAAAAAACAAACAACATGAACCTATGGGGCGGCGGCGAGGCGCTTGTGCAAAACTCCGCGCTTCGCGCGGAGTTTTGCGGCACGCGCCTCGCGGGGAGTCTACGGGCGATTGGTCTGGGCTCGTAACTTAATCCTATTCCAATTATCGCTGTGATGGTCATGCCCGGCTTCCTCCGCAGCAGCATGAACATCCACGGAGAACAAAGGTAAGGAGCTAAAAAAATGATCATAACTTTGTTAAATCAAATCAGATTTCGTTGATTTTGGTGTCTTTCGACTCAGCTCGAGGAGCTCTTTCGAATGGGCTATTATTTGCATTTTCGAATTTTTCACCCCAAAAAAGTGCTTGGTCTCCCCTATGGTTTTTCGATTTTCGGGGGCCTATATCTCGGTCCATAAGTGAGACCGGGACCTAATTTTGGTGTCATTCGACTCAGCTCGCCGAGCTCTTTCAAATGACATATTGTTTGTCTGAATCGGTTTCCGGGACGTATGACGGAATTTTACCAATTGAAGTATTCCTAAATGAAGTGAGTGCCGAACGATTTTATGATAAAGGGTTTAGATCGATACTGATTTAGAGGGATTAGTATACAGGGTGATTACTGAGAATATTAGTGAATTTGGAGAGATTAAGAGGGATAAGGAGGGAACAAAGGAACCGCGATAACACGATATTCTCTCCAAAGACCTATACAACTCCCCTCCTCCAATACCCAGTTAATCCAAACCTTTACCCCTTTTTGTAAGCGCTATATCACGCACAAATTTCTCGACTTCCCAACTTCATCTCTTTCCAACACCGAAAGCGAAAACTTTGAAAAGTTTATAAACAATTTAAAACACCTGCAACATTTTCATCAACATATCAGAATATTTCTCTGCCTCAGTTAGTAATAATTGTCGGCCATACTGACTTAAGCCAGTTGAGGCAAAATGTGATGAAATTATAGCGCGAAGGAGAACAAATTCTTCTTTGCTTAGTTGCAGTCTATTAAATGGTCCCACAGAATCGTCAAATAATTTTTTTACAAATTTGTTTATCCTAATACAAGATGAAGGATTAATCAAAAAATAAAATTTACGTCACGTCTTCTTTGTAAATATTTGCTTTGAAAACATTTCGAACTGGAAATTCATTCGGCATAACAACAATTTCAGATTTTTTTCTACTTGAATAATAGGCAGAATGGAATGTTTTCAGCGGCAGGGTAATTGTTGTGAGCAGACAAATCTTTATTAATTTAAATACTAAACTTCTAAACTTTCTTTTCTTAATTTCTACGGCTCCCCTACAAAGGATAGATGAATTAAAGGATAGATGCACTAAAGGATAGATACGGCCAAAAGCGATCAAAGGATAGACAGCTGAATAGGTCGTTTGAGTCTGGACAAAAATGTTTAATAATCTGAATCTTCGCTGGAAAAACTGTTTTTGTGCTGCTACGGAGGGTAGGCCGGGCATGGTCTTCGCTACACGATGGCCGTGCTTCGCTGCGGTCGTGCTCGCTTCGCTCGCGGCGACCGTAGCGAAGCGGCGGCCGTCGTTCCGCTCGACATGCCCGGCTTCCTCCGCAGCGGCAAAAACTTTTTTCCGCGAATATACTAAAGTACAAATAAAATAAAAATCAGAACAGAAACATGAAATCAGAACAAAGATCGGAAAAAAACAAACAAAGATCAGGCACTCAACAGTTGGTACTCAACTGGACTCCAAACTTTATCTATGTTTTACCCAATTTTAGACGTGTCTATACTTTAATGGATTCTACCCCTATCTATCCTTTGGCGCATCTATCCTTTGATGCATCTATCCTTTAATCGTTTTTTGCCTTATCTATCCTTTAGCAGCTTTTGGCCGCGTCTATCCTTTGATCGATTTTAGCCGTATCTATCCTTTCATTCATCTATCCTTTGAGCGGGCACGATTTCTACTCTCTATATTTTATATTGGAAACGATAATTACACTCTGTCAGAAAATTATAAACACCACCTAGTTTTTGAAAAAACATAGGTAAAGTTAAAATATCATAGTTTTAAATATTTTTAGGATTTTCTGATGCATATTGAACTGAAAAAACAATAATTGATAAAATAAATATGGATAGTAGAGAAATTCTATTTCCAATAGGTTCTATTTCCTATTCCAAGAAAACTTATTGTGATAGAAGGCCCTACTCACCTAGAGTTTTAGGATGAGTGAGTGAATGAATGCGACCACAGGCAACTTTTTTAAAATTATGGAAGGAAAAAATGACTGACCATTTCGTACCTCAACTGAATCGCGGACTGGGGGGGGCGCAATAAGTACCGAATTATAGCCAGTGCTTCGAAGAACTGCTTATAGCCCTGCCCGACAAATTTAATCACCTTGTCGGCCAAATCCAATTTATCAAAGAAAAGCATAGTTCTTGCAGTATCAACAATTATAAACAAAAGATCCGTTAAAGGTTTTGGTCGACAAGTAAAGATTCCAATGTTTGGATTGAATTTTGGAAAATTTTGCTTTCCAATCTTTAAATTAAAAAGAAAATTTTGTCTTATTTTTAATTTCAAACCACACATTCGTGTTTCATTGCAATTAAATTTTCTTTACGTGTGAGTAATGTAGCAAGTGAATTTAACGAAGAATTATAATGAAAATCTTGGATTCCTATAGGGGAATCGCCAATACGACAAGCATGTTGCTCTATTGTGAGTAAATAGTCAAGTAATTGTGTATTTTGTCTAGCGATTAGTGATTTTTGCTGAAATATTTTTATAAAAATTTGTAATTAACAAAAAGGTTAGCTTCAAAAAACCTCGTTCTATCCTTATTTTCGGCCTAGTTTATAGCTTACTTAAAAAGCTAAAACTTTTGTGATTTTCTGATGCCTAAATGACACGAACGGTCTGAGGCAATCTAAATACGAGAACGGCCTAATAAAATAATACTCTACCAAATCAACAAAATTCAGCCCTCCAACAGCACAATTATTAGATTTTCCTTGGACATA